TTTCAGAATGAACATCCTAAATTTTACATAGAAATGCACATTATTCCAATTTTTTTTTTTAACTCAGAATAATACTTTTTATACTATGAACTGCTTTTCCTCAGAGTAATGTGCCGCATTCTAAACATGTTTAATTTCATTTTTAACTTATTGGTAAGTAGCACCACAGCCTGCAGTGAGCCCAAGGTGCCTGATTTGAGAACAGAACAGCATAGCAGCTGCTGTCATACAGTAGTGAAAATCTGAGAGGGGAACAAACGCCTTAAATGCTTCTCCCCCGGAGGTCAAAACAAATGATTCCTTCCCAGTGTAAACAGCTAGTTTTCAGAATCTCAGAACAGGTGCGATGTTTTTGATATGGAATGACTACGGTATCTCATAAGACACCGAACATTCACAACCAACAAAACAGTCACTATAAATGTCACTCTGCGGCACCACAAAAATATAATCAGAGGTGGAAAGTTCAGTTCCAGAAAGTACAAATCCAGACCAAGATTTTGTTTCAGTCAGCCAGTTGAGTATCTGTGACTGTGACATGCTCAACTGTTTGGTTGAAACAAAATCTTGGTCTGGATTTGTACTTTCTGGACCTGAACTACCCACCTCTGAATTTAATGATAACATTAATAGTGATTTTTGAGGTAATTACATTCCAGTAACTGGGCTGCCGCAGATCTGACTTTTACTCATTCCAGTGTAAACAGCAGCCGCTTCTTCATATAATTAATGGCTGATGTGTCTTCTTTTGCCGTTCTGACAAATAATAGAAATTCCTGGAGATTATTCCAGGAGAGAAAGTGCCAATCTGAACCCTCAAGGTTCTTACTATGCGGGCAAGAAAAGCTGAATGACGTAAACATGGTTAAATCTAAAGTAGGTGTAAACGTTACATTGGCGACGACCTATCTGCCTGATGCCACAGCCCCTCACACGCGGTTCATGCATCCTGCGTTGTCTATACACTGATTCTCTCCTCCTTCTGACTGTTTTTGATTATCCCAAGCTTGGGGGGGGGGGGGGTCGCCTTCAGCTTGATGATGTCATACAGAGCCCCCTGGGGACACACACATGGTGCATTAACAGCCACCGAGTGACACACCATTCTGGAAACTTCTAAACGCCTAAACTGCCACAGTGTAAATTATGTAGACTAATAGATCGCAGAGCGAGAAGTGATCGAATTAATGATGAGTGAGCCTTTGATCCCGTCTATTTCTGTGTTTCCAGAAAGTCTCACCAGGTTCAATTAATAAAAAATATATAAATTCTATAAGTTCTAGTCTATTTGATCGTCTGAGGTGGACAACTGCTCTGTTCGGAGTTTATTTCTACTCAAAGGTGCAGGTCCTCATATGCATATAATCTGCATGGTTATCGATGTGCAGGTGACCTCCAAAGGTCCTCATTCATTGGGCCTCGTTGTCCAATAGGAATCCACGTGTCTCCTGCTCGGCGATGCCAGTGCCCGACTTCACGGGTGACCTTTCCACCCATTGGCTTTGAAGCAGACCCGGCACAGTGTAATTCTCCTGCTCTCTCGGCCGTGGGACATCTCTTATCGGTCATTTCGGAACATGGCAGACCTCAGCGGTTTGTGAGGGAAAACCAGCCACTGAAAAGAAGTTCTTAGTGCTGGAGGTCAAGTTAGATACCAGATGTATTAAAAGTAATCAGATTCCTCGTCGTTTATGAAATGATCAACAGATAATCAGTATAATTTACATTGTTTTACTCCTCCTTTTTGCAATATCGCTGTTTCTGTGTGTGTGTGTGTGTGTGTGTGTCCTTGTGTGTTTGTGTATGTCGTCGTATCTCTGTATCATTGTGGGTATGTGTTTCTCGGGGTGTTTGTAACTGTCTGCCGGTTTGTGTTTGTCTGCTTGTCTTCCTGTTTACATGTCTACCTTTTGCCTGTTTTTCCCCACTTGTCTACCTTTTTATGTACCTGATTGTATGTTTGTCTGGCTTTTTGTGTGCCTGTTTGTTTCTGCTGCTTGTTTGTCTGTTTTCTGCCTGAATTTCTGTTTCTCTGCCCATTGTCTGTTTGTCTGCCCTTTTGTCTGTTCATTTGCCTGCTTGTCTTTGTTTGTCTGCCTGCTTGTCTGTATTTTTCTGCTTGTTTCTCTGCCCATTTGTCTGCCTGTCTGCCTGTCTGCTTGCCTGTCTGCCTGTATGTCTGTCTGCCTGTCTGTCTGTATGCCTGTCTCTCTCTCAGGTCCCGACTGGCCGATTTCCAGCATAACTGCCAGGCCTCCTCGCAGTCGCCCTCTGGGTGCCTGAGTGATAGCAGAGCTGTCTGCCTGAAAGCGTACGCTGGACTGATAGGTAAGCAGGAGTGGCCGAAGGGCACGCGGAGGGGGGGGGGCAGGGTAAGGGCAGGGGGAGGCCGGATAAACACGTGGGGGGGAGGAGGGTGACAGACGGGCTGCAGGCAGGAGCCGCACTCAAGGTGACAGACTCTGTCACTGACCTGCCCTCCACAGGCACCATCATGACCCCCAACTACGTGAGCAACAGCAGCACAGAGGTGTCGCAGTGGTGCAGCTGCGAGGGCAGCGGCAACCGGTGGCAGGAGTGTCTGCGCGTGCTGCACATGTTCGACGCCAACAGCTGCCTGCGTGAGTGTCTGCCAGCCAGGCCGCCCTGCACCCACAGCCGCTCGCCGCCCACTAACCGCCCACTAACCGCCCTGCTCTCCCCTTCTCGGGTCAGGCAACGCCATCGGCGCTCTGGGAGGCTCGCCGCCCCGTCCAGTGGAGAGGACCTCGCCGCCACCCCCACGCCCCACCCCCAGGCCTGTCCCCACCATCCAGCGTGACATCATCATCGCCAACGCTCTACCTGACCTCAGCACTGTGAGTAGCTCCGCACTTGGCCCCGTGCCCAGCACTGCGCGACCTCACGCCATATGCGGGGAATGGAATATCATCCAGCTGGCTGGACAGCGCCCCCCCCCCCCCCGCCACCACCATTGCCATCCCCAAACTCATTTTTTAAATTACATAACATTAATTGGTTTTCAGTCTAAACTGCTGTTGCTAAAGTGATTTGTTCTGAAGCAATCTTAAATAAGTCAAACTGAAGTACAAGATGGGGGGTGTGCTATAGAGTTCATTAAAAAAAAAAACTTGCTTTCCCAGAGGGAAATTCTAGTTCTATCTAAAGAAAGTACTTTAGCTACCTTACAAAGAACAAGTCAGGGTGCTGTACAGCGACCTGTCTGTCATAAAGAGCGGATCAGGGCGGTATAAAGCGGCCTGTCTGTCATAAAGAGCGGATCAGGGCGGTATAAAGCGNCCTGTCTGTCATAAAGAGCGGATCAGGGCGGTATAAAGCGGCCAGTTGGTTATAAAGAGCAGATCAGGGTGGTATAAAGCGGCCTGTTGGTTATAAAGAGCGGATCAGGGAGGTATAAAGCGGCCTGTTGGTTATAGAGAGCAGATCAGGGTGGTATAAAGCGGCCTGTTGGTTATAGAGAGCAGATCAGGGTGGTATAAAGCGGCTCATCTGTAATACAGGGCAGGTCAGGGTGGTGTACAGCAGTCCCTCTGTAATGGAGAGCGGATCGCTGCTCATATAAAGCGGCTGTCAGTTATGGATGGTGGGTGGTATAAAGCGGCTGTCAGCTATGGATGGTGGGTGGTATAAAGCGGCTGTCAGCTATGGATGGTGGGTGGTATAAAGCGGCTGTCAGTTATGGATGGTGGGTGGTATAAAGCGGCTGTCAGTTATTGATGGTGGGTGGTATAAAGCCGCTGTCAGTTATGGATGGTGGGCGGTATAAAGCCGCTGTCAGTTATGGATGGTGGGCGGTATAAAGCGGCTGTCAGTTATGGATGGTGGGCGGTATAAAGCGGCTGTCAGTTATGGATGGTGGGCGGTATAAAGCGGCTGTCAGTTATGGATGGTGGGTGGTATACCGGCCCATCAGAGGGCGGTGCGAAGCATACGGCAGCCGGCACCGCGTCTCCGGCTCGGTCGCCTCCCTGGCTCTCAGCTCCTGCTCTGCTTCTGTTTGAGAGGATTAGCCCGAGGTGTTTGCAGGAGGTGCACATCAATATTAATATTCATTTATTCATGCCCATCTGTCTCCTTCTCTTAGCCTCGCTCCCTCCATCCTGATCCCTTCACCACTCTCTCTACCCTTTTCCACACCGCTCAGTCACACCTCCAATTCCTCTAACCCCGCCCCCTTGCCACCTCCCGTTTTCGGGTCCGTGACCCTCTGTCCGTCCGTTGTCTGCTCCTCCCTTGACATCCTCCTCGTCTGTCCCTCAGTTTCTCATCTCTTGTCTTCATAGGTGGAAGATAGTGATGAGGAGGAGGGTGAGCAAGATCACCAAGACTTCAACGTGATCCCGCCGTACACGAAGGAGTCGAACGTGGGTTCCGGGGCTGGGGGGGTCCTTTGGGGTCCTTCCCCGCTGACTCTGCTGCTGGCTGGCGTAGCTCTGACCAGGGGGTGCCAGGGATAGAGGACTCAGCCCCCCGCCCCCCCTCCCCCACTCCCCCCAGCCCCCTTGGATCATTCATCCACAGAACAAACAAGCAACAAACGCGGAGACTCTCTCAATGACATTGAGGGAGAAGATGGGAAAGGCGGGACCAGGAGGAGGGGGGGGTGGAGAGATGGAGCGGGAAGAAGAAAAAGGAGCGCTCCGCCTGCCCTCCTGCGCTCTCGACGCCGTTCCCTCCGACTCCCGGACACGTGTCATTATCCGAGCCGATCGGAACGCCCTGGAAACAAGAAGGCTGGAGACTGATTACCGACCGCACATACAACAGCAAATAAACAGACACGGGGTAACCGGTGCGGATAATCGAGTTGTAGGTTGAATTAATGAGCGGCGAATAAACATGCTGGCTGGGTATTGGGTGAGATAACGGGGAAGCGGCCTTCTTCAGTGGACGGACGAACTCCAGGTGGGGGGGGGGGGGGTTGCTGGCGGGTGTATGAGGGACGATAATAGCAGCAACGATAAAGAGACCGAATTTAATGCTCGGATTACTTTTTAATTTCGGCTGTGGTTGTATTTCATGCCGCGTCGGTCCCAGTTAGCGAGGTGACCTAACTCTCGGTGTCACCACGGAAAAACAGACCGTTTCCTTTACCGGTTCGGTATTGAACCTCCGGTGAAATGACCGACCTCTGACCAATTTAAACAATTTTTAGCACCAGGTCCTTTGACTGGGAGCGGAAATGAGGGTTACCCCTCCAGCGACGAAGGAGGGCCAAGCGGGGAGCCAGCGCACACCCCGCCCCCCCCCTCCCCTTCCCCAGAAGCGTGACCCTTACGTCGGCCGTTAAACATCAGCTATCTGAGCCCGAAAGGCTCCCTTCCTGCCGAATCGAGGCTCTGAATTTCACTACGGGCATAAATGATGAAAAAAAATAAACAGCAAACAAGCAAAGTGCTCCCTCTTTTACGAGCAGAGGGTTAGATTCAGCAGCACTCCAGTGTAAACTCAGGAGGAGAGGAGAGGCAATTTGCTGCTTTTCCATTTCAGTCCGGTTCCAGGAAGTACAGCTGCCTTTTTAAGATGTTTTAAGGCAGAGGCGCTCGGAGAGAAGCAGTGAGGCAGCTTTTCAGCACAAACTTACCATGAAGCATCACTTTGTCCCTCTTTCACCCGTCGCCGATAAATCTTTTTTTTCCCCCCCTTCCTTGCTGATGCAAAAGTTTTTTTTCTTTCTTTATTTTTTTTCTCCTTGTGATTTTTATTTCTTTGCACGGTGAGCCTGCAAAAAGGACTTTCATCCGCAGGGGTGGGCGGGATGATGGAAAGAGGAAATCGGAGGGGTGGGGGGGAGTGGGGGGGGGGGGGCGCTTATACGAGATTGTGGGATCGACCGAATGTCAGCCCGTCTCTTCCCCCCAATCTGTCAGGCTTTATACGCTGTGTGTCTCGAGAGCATTTTAACACGTGAAGGACAGACGGTCGGTTTCTGAGGACGGAGAACCTCAGGACCTAGAACCACAGGTCAGCGTGATGCTTTAGAACACCCCTCTCAGGTCTAATCAGATGGTTGTTGGTTTGAATCCCAGGGTCTGCAGAATGATTTCTCCATTCTGACCCTTAACCTCAAATTTTTCCAGGAACCAGCTGACCCTGCATTTTTGATCAAATGTACATCATCTCTGGGTAAAAGCCTCCGTTATATAAATGGAATGTAAGTCGGACGTAAGGAACAAGCCCCTCCGTGCTTTATCAAACTGTGATATTTTTACCTGAACGTGAGAGGCACCCCATTGTCCCTCTGGGTCGCTGATGTGATGTCCGCATGGCGGCTCTCCTGTTTTTATCTTTCTCAGACAGAGAGGGGGAGAGGGAGTAAAGGAGGGGGTGGTGTGTGGGGCGGGGGAGGTCCACACAATGCCCCCAACAGTTTATTCCTTTGTAAGGCCAGTGACGAGCTTCCTGTTCTGTCGTGTGAGTCCAGCTTTCATGCTCAGTTCCGGCTGTCTATGTGCGTCTGTGTCAGCAGGCTGCGGGATTAGCTCCGCCCCTTTCAAGCACCTTTTTCCCAGTGGTATATTTCTCATGTTTTTGTCACATATGAACGTGCGGTGGTCCCCCCCCCGCCCCCGATTCATGAATCGTGCCCCCCTCCTGTCACAGCTCCGCGTCCTCGCCTCTCCTGCCCTGATCCAGTCACAGGAACCACTTAGAGCAGCGATCTGACTGCTCTCAGATCTGCAGGTGAGTGTGACACTGATCCCTCGGTCTCCCCGGACCCGAGTGACTGTGAACGGATGTCGGCTTCTCTCCCGGGTATTCAGGACGCTTCCCGCCTTCCAGCTCCATGTGCCCGCCACACCCCCATGCTGTCTGCTGTGTTACGGCGCCTGAATGCGCCCTGACGTAGGGCGGGGAGGGGGGGGCGGGGGCTCTAGTGTAAAAGACATATAATAAAGGTGGCCTAGGTTTCATGTCAGTGGCTTTCCTGTGATTCTTTTGGCAGGCTGAGTGACACAGTGCCCCTGCTGTGCTCCGAAAATGTCACTCGGTGTCGTTTTCAGTGTGACACGTATGTTGGGGTCCTGGTGGCTCACATCTCCAGGGTTGGGGGTTCAAATCCCACCCTCAGGATCTCCATTCATCTCATTTCTTCGGGATTTTTCCAGGTACTTTGGTTTTCCTCCGCGCGTGTGCGTGCGTGCGTGCGTGCGTGTGTGGGTGTGTGCGTGCGTGCGTGTGTGGGTGTGTGCGTGTGTGGGTGTGTGCGTGGGTGTGTCCACCCTGACATCCCCTCTGCGTACTCTCGATTGATTCTTCCCATTTCATTCTAAATATATGCCGTTAGGTATCTACACTCAATGACGGAGTGGTGGAAATGAAATGAATCTGGACGTGGTGAAAGGTCATGTGACTGTATCGCAACGATTATCAGATCAAACGGACAACAGGGTTGGCAGTATGGGCACACTGCTGGTCCCATGTCGGCAGGGTGTGGCACCCCTCCCCCCCCCAGGCCTGGATACATGCGGCTATACGGTGCGGTGGAGTAACCGGAACCTTCCCGATGTGTGTGGGTGCCCTCACGTGCCCATAGGTTCCAACATCGGGTGACTGTGACATCTCATGCCCCACATGCTGGTCAATTGCGCGATACAACCACCCAGCCTCCATGTAAATCGAATCATTTGCATACCCATCGCTGGTCTGCACGTGTACCAATTTACATCCAAATCGGACCATTACTTCTGGGTGCTTAACTTTTTTTGTCACTGAGTGTATTTTGCTCTTAGTATATGTGTGTGTGTGTGTTTTCATCTTAAAATGCATCCTATCCATGGTGTCTCCTACTGTCCCCAAACTTCCCAGGGACAGAATCCAGGTTCATACTATTATAGATAAACGATGGATGGATGGATGGACGAACGGACAGCCTGATAGACACTGTGTAAGTCCAGGACATGTTACAGAGCCCCGGAGCCCCATGTATAATTTCATTTGCTGGACCTGCGGTTCTGGGTTGAGGTCTGTTTAATCACCTTAGCAGGACTGGTTTCTTGCCGGGGGGGTGAAATCGCGGGCCCTTCATCAGTTAGGGCTATTCTGCTGTCGCATCACAGACAGCTAATAAATTAAATCTCTGATCTCTCAGTCGGAGCTCAAAGAATCGGTAACACCTGTGGCGGCAGGGACAGCAAACAAACCGCGAGAGTGTCGCGCTCGGATCACGCTTGGAGCTGAAATGGGAAGCGACACGGAGGAAGCAGGTACAGCGTACGTGAGCAGGAAGAAGTGGAGGAATCTGCAGCGAACGTTGCTTGTTTTTCCACTGCTGCCTTGCGGCCTGTCATTAAATCCTAATGTGTTTTTGTGTTTTGCAGTAGCACATGTGGTCTTGATTGGTGGCCTTCTTGTATGTGCGCACACACACACACACACACACACAAAGATGAGGTATCTATATCTTTGTGGGGATTCTCCGTTCATTTCTCTGAGCATAACCCTAATCCTAACTATGAAAAACTTAATCCCTACCCACCCCTCACCTTTAGCATAAGTAATCAAACAAAGTACAAGGTTTTTGATTGCAGTGACAGATTTTTATGAAATCGAGTTTTGCCTTGTGGGGACCAAATAATGGTCAAAATAACAGGTCTCGATAATATATATATACACACGCACACACACACACTTCTTACAAACGAATATGCCTATCCATCCATCCATCCGTCCAAATATTTATCTTCCATGACTGCTGGCCCAGTTCAGGGTCATAGTGTCATATATAATAATAATAATAACAATAATAATAATAACAGTAGTGAACGATAACCCACCCAGGGTTTGTCCCCTGCCTCATGCTCTGTGCCTGTTGACAGGCTCCTGATGTTCTGTAACCCAGTAATGGTAAAGCAAGAATGGAAGATGTATGTATGTATGTATGTATCTATGTGTTTATGGATAGATAACACTGGAATGAGACACAATCACATCAAAACAATCATATCAGGCTTTGCTTTTGAGGGATTCAAATCAGTACCTTCAATAAATGTAAGCCCAAAAGCCCCGCTTTTTATCTCCGGGGGGGCTTATCAACACATTTCCAATGGAGCCTGAAATGTCCCGGCCTGCCTTCGGAGCATTCGCTCCCTGCTTGTGCGTGGGAACCAGGAGCAGGTGTGCTTCTACACCCCCAGTGCCCCCACCATCCACATGCATTACACTCACTCCGCCAGGGGCCTTATCGTAGCAGGGGGGACGACCAGAGCCCCCCAGGCCTGACAGGAAGCGGCTTTTCAAAGCCAACGCTCTCCCCGTGGCCAGAATCAAGAATCGCCCCCCCCTCCCGATTTAAGAGGATAAAGCGAACAGACCAATTTTAAAGCTTTTAATCTGTTAATGGAGCATCGCAGCGGGGGGAGGCGTAGCCCGTGAAGTCACCATGTGTGCGTCTGGCTCACATTACCTGCTTAAATATTAACGATAACGAGAAAGCGGACAGCAAGAAATAATCCCA